ATATACTAGGGAGTCTGGGAAATGTAGTTTCTTAGCCAGGCATTATCACTTTTAGCAAAGTCAGGTAGACAAACAGCAATTTCTGCTGTCACAGTGACAGTCAAGTCACAGCAGAAGCAGGAGGAAAAGGGCCAAGAGCCTATGTTTCAGAGATCGTCCTCATACAGAATGGACACTGTCTCTTCTGAGGGTGGGTGTGATGTAGCTCAGTTTGTGGGCCATGGATAGGAATGTGAGGATGACTGTGACCACTGATGTCAGTTTTCTCAGTGAGGACAGAGATCTGTTCGTTTTTGTATCTCTCATGTCTTCAGTGCTAGCACATGAATTCAATGCTAATCAATGTTTATGGAATATTTTTGATTTATCAGGACTCTTAGACAACAGGGTGATGAAAATGTGGGGATCAATTGGGGGATGCTTTTCTCATATTCTTGGAGCGAACCTTTAGTCTTTAGGGAAAGCAAAAACCAGACTTGAGACGGTATTCTACAACCCCTGCCATATAAGCTAATGCGATTAAAATATAAACCATGGTCAAAACGCAGAGACCTGTGGAATTGTCAACCAGGGGAAAGATGTAAAAATAAAGTAAAAGTTTGGTTTTTCCGGAAGGACACATAACACGTTATTAGTAGTGATTACTCTTGGAGGGTAGCTGCAGATTGCGGGGAGAGCTTTACCCTTTATGTACTTTATGTAAGTAAGTAGGTGTTACTTTTATCTTTAAAAAAATCTAAGTGTTAAATGACTCAGAACTGCCTGGGCAATAAAACTGATTGAATTAGTAAAACTGGATAATTATGAACTTTCAGAAAATTATTAACTTAGCACTCCTTCATTGCATCTACTTCTAACAGGACCTCAGTGTAGGGGAATTTGACTTCAAGATGAAAAGACCAAAAATTATTTGCTCTTTTTTTTAAAAGGCAACTTAAAAGTAGACTTATCTGCAGGGCCTTTTCTAACTGGACATTGATGAGTGTATCATAGCCTCTAAGACAGCCTTCATTCCACTGCCCACTATTATGATTCACAAATGTTTCCTGAGCTACTACAAAAAAAGCAATGGATAAGAATTTTGAGAAATGCAAAGATAAAAAGATAGAGTCCCTGCCTGTGATGGTTCATTTTATGTGTCAACCTACCTGACTCATGGGGTGTCCAGATATTTGATCAAATGTTATCTTGGGTGTTTCTGTGAGGGTGTTTTTTACTAAGATTAACATTTAAATCAATAGACTAAGTACAACAGATTGCCCTCCTAGTGCGTGTGGGCCTTGTCTAATCAGTTGAAGGCCTAAACAGAACAAAAGGGCAGACCCTCCCCCAAGTAAGAGAGAATTCTTCATGCCTGACTGCCTTCCAACTGGGACAGTGGCTTTCTTCTGCCTTCAGACTCAAACATCAGCTCTCCTGGGTCTCCAGCCTGCCTACTCACCCTACAGATCTTGAGACTTGCCAACCTCCATATGCATTAGCCAATTCCTTATAGTAAGTCTCTGTCTCTGTCTCTGTCTCTGTCTCTCTCTCTCTCTCTCTCTCTCTATATATATATATATATATGTATATATACATATATACATATATAGAGAGAATACATATATATGTGTTCACATATATATGAATGCATACATACAATGTATGTATATATATATTATATACAGTAAGTCCTTACTTAACATTATTGACAGGTTCTGTGACTTGAAGCAAAACAACGTGTAACAAAATTAATTTTACCATAGGCTCATTGATATAAATAAGAGTTAAACTCTTATGGCATCTCATCAGCATTATAATGAAACGACATTGAACAAAATATTATTCAAGGGCCTCCTCTATATAATATATAATATATACATATGTGATATATATATTATATATAAAATATATACACCCTATTATATGTATTTCTCTGGAAAACCCTAATATACTGCCCTAAATACGCATATTATTTCATGGAGTATCATGCATATACACAATTGTAGCTGATTTGCTTGTTGCTATAATAAGAATATTTATTTATTCATCAAATTATATATATACACATATATATGTGTATATATGTATATATATACATATATATGTGTATATATGTGTATATATATATATATATATATTAGAGAGAGAGAGAGAGCCAAAAAAATGTATACACATTTTAAGAAAGGAAAAAACTATTAAAGTTGTAATACTCAATATATACCAATAACAAAAGATGACTACAAGTCACGTTTAACTTCGCAATTACAAGAGGTGCTCAAAGTGGTTACCACCAGCATCCAGAAACTTCTGATTACGGTGAGCTATTGCTTGAGCAACTTTGACCAAAGTGTCCATTTGTATATGTTTTTTTGGCACCCCGGGTATAAATATATATAACAGACATAGTTCCTATCTATTTGGAGCTATATAAGATGACTAGTAAATAATAACAATAATTACCAGTGATGTAGAGTGCAAAGGAAAGGAAAGAAGCAACGTGCTCTAAAAGAACAGAACAGGGCAGGGTGAGCAAAGGAGCATAGAGAAGGGAATGTTATCTAAATCTACCATGGGACAATTGTCCTTCAAATAGATAGTTGTGTTAGGAATGAGACTTGAAGGATGAGAAGTTTGCCAGGCAGAGAAGGGCAGGGGGAAAGGTGTGCAGAGGAGGAGGCATGAGAAAGACTGACATGCATGTTAGGGAATGTAGAAAGAAGCCCAGTCTATGGGAGAAAAAGCAAGCGAGAAGGTGAGGTGGGGAGCCATGTACCAGCTCATGAAGGACCACGTGTCCAGCGCTGGTACTGACCTTCTTTCCTGGAGGCAGTAGGGAGCCATGGAAGATCTTTGAGCAGGAGAAGTGACATGATTGGATTGTCCCATTAGGCTACATTGTTGAGGGTGGAAGGTAGGAGATTGGAGGCAAGGGACCAGCAAGAAGGCTCTTCTGATACAATATTCTGGGAGACAAGCAAGAGGAACCTGAGCAAAGGCAGTCCTAGTGAAGAAGGAAAAATGATAGGAGAGAATATTTACTTAGTATTCACGTATTCAGCAATTTATTTACTTTTGCATGCAAAAAAACCCTTTTTTATTTTAAGAACGTTGTTATAGAAATAAATATAAAAAATTAGAGAGTCTTATAATGAACCCGCATAAACCCATCACCCAGCTTCAACTATTCTCAGCATTTGGCTGTTCTCGTTGTACCTGTTCCTCATTTTTTCTCCCTTAAGTTTTTTAAAACAAATCACAGACAGTGTATGATTTCACCCTTACATACTTCCTTATGTTCCTCTAACAGATAAAAACGTACTTCTTTTAACAAAACCAGAATGCTATAATCACACCAAACAAAATTAACAATAATTCCTTAATGTTATCTAATACTTGGTCCTGTTCACTTGCCCTCTGATTGTTTCAGCTGGTTTGTTCTGATCAAAATCAAGAGAAGGTCTGCGCATGACATTTTATTAATGTATCTCTTAGATCCCCTTTCCTCTATGATAGAGTTTTACTGTCGATACTTAGAAAAATCAACAGGATTTGGTGATAACTTGCCATCGACGTACATTTTTGACTTGCTTGCTTCCTCCCTTCTACCGACTTTTCTCAGCCCCACCATCCTATGGGAAAAATACGAATTCACGTGCTTTGCCCAGCATACACTGAAGCTATTTTCAAGGAGTTTGAAATAAGTCACACCAAGACCAATGCCTAGGCTTAGTGTTAACGTTAAGGAGGAATGATACTTCTCAGTGGTGGAGTTTCAATAGAGGCTTTGCTGTTCCTTCCTCTGGAAGATTCTCCTGTCTGCTTTGTAGCTCTCATGCGTAACAAAGGCTTCCATCTTACAATTAGAAAATAAGCCTGAAATGCCAATGTCCCATGAGAGTGCCTACGTTTATTTTTTGCTTTCAGGGTCAGAGAGAATGTGAGGATCCTGCCCCTACATCAGGGGGGAAGGGGAGCAGGACGCAGAGCTAGAAAGGGGAGGCTAGGCTGGCCAAAGCCCAGCTCCACCTGCTTCAGTGCTTTGCCACAGCCAGATCCATCCACCCATCATTTAGGAGAACCGCACTGGCAAATAAAACGCTGAGGTTGTGGCTTGTGGGCCACAAATTCTTGAATCAGAATTACATGTCGAGCTTGTTAAAATGCAGGTCCCCTCCAGGCCTACTCAAAATGTACACTAGAGTTTGAAAGCCACTGTTTTAAAACTTAGAATTCAGTCCTGAAAGACATAGGATCAGTGATTCAATCAGTGTCGAAACTATGAAGAAGGAAGTCATTCACTCAGGACTTGAACTTGGTTTTTGGAAAACAAGGTGTTCCCAACAGGCTCTGGGACTTAGAGCCAGCAAGTGGATTTCCACATTCCCAACCACTGTGGAAAATGCACGAACAGTTGTGTATTGTCACATGGGCCTGCGGTCGCCAGAACACTGCTGCCAACCGGAGACTCTGCAAGGAAACTTCTCTCTCTTTAAAGTGACCAGCAGCCGCTTTGAAAGAAAGGTGATGTCACTGGTCAGAGCTTACATAAGAAAGTAGTGTCAAACAGAGGAAGCGACACAACCTGCCTTAAAGGACACAAAAGGAGCAAAGACGTGAACAATGACGAGGAAGCCTGCGAGTGTATACACAGCCGGCGGTGAACAGATGGCCACCACCGTAGGCAACCTTCCTCCACGCTCTGTTTTCCTTCCTCCAGGAGTCTTGTTTGGTATCACTAAACCAGCAGTCAGAATCACTTTGGCGTATTTAATGTCACCGTGAAACTATTTGTGATTGACTAGCTCAGCAGGGTGACTTGGAATAAGAGCCTTTGATTTTCTCAATTAGATAAAAGAAGTTTGTTTCTGAAAGCAATCTTGCAGAAAGAAAAGATTCTGTGATGAGAAAGAAGGGGATAGATGTTTTTCAAGCCTACAGGAGATCTGATATGTGTGTATGTATAACAACATTCATATATGTATATATATATATAATTATTTTTCCTCTATCAATTACAGCTTCCTACACTCCTAGACAGCAGTTCCCAAGGTATCAATCTGAGATCCTGGGGAAGAATATTATCTGATATGTCACCAAGAATTCAAGAGGTAAGTGGTCTGATCATAGTTTGTAATTCCATTTTATCTTTCCACCATTTTGCCAAACTTATTATATCAAACAATTTAATTGTACCTCAAACCTGTTCACGGAGAAGTACATTTGAAATTTCCACCTAGCAATTTCAGAGCACCTGTTCATATCCCAAATCATCTGTGCTCCTGAGTTGGAGGCAAAAAGAAGGGAACTATCCTGATTTCATGCCTAGGAAGAAATGCCACCTTGTCTGGGGTGGCACAGATTATCATTAGACTGTCGATCGATCTAAGTCTTTCCCATGTGGAGGTGGTCTGTTACTATATTTTGCTCATAAAATCCACATAAATCCATACCACAATAGTAGTAGCACACATTTATAGAGTGCTTACAGCACTAAGTGGCTTACATACGTATATCAACTCATCACAAAGAAAATAATTGGCTCTTATGCGTTGTTTTGTGAACGTCATGCACATTTTAATTAACATCTGGTTGCACAGCCTTTGCCTGTGTAGAAACTGATTTTCCACTCAGTAGATGAGAGGCGCTGGGGCATGATGATGAACAGAAAGATATGGCAGCTGCCCTTGTGCAACGTATAGTTCAATGGGGAAGAGAGATGTAATAAAATACACAATTACCTTCAAGTGTGATGAGTATGAGTAAGGGAGGCAAAAGGTGAAAATCATTTTCCCCGAACTTTTCCCTCCTCCAGTATTGTCAGCTGACTTGGTCTTAGCCGACCTGAAAAACGGCGTGGTTGGGATCTGTTTTCATAAAACTAAGCTCAACCTAGGCAGAGTGTGAGCAGGGGAAGTTAGGGCCGAGTGCTGTGCAGGGAGAGTTAAAGATGGGCCCATTGTTCTGATGGCCACCTACTGTGGTGGGAGTCTCTGTTTAACATTTTTCATAAGCATTTTAAAAATTCATATCGGTATAATAGGGTAAAGTTGATAGAGAATGTAAAAACAAACAAACAAACAAAAAACCCAATGCATATCAACACTCTTACTTCTGTGTGGGAGTTCCAGAAGGTTCCTTGCCTGTGTAAGATAGCAAGTCTGAGCATTTCTGAACTAGGTTGAAGCAGATGGCCTACTTTATATTAACTGATACTGGACCATTTGACCCTGGAACAGCCCCTTCATCTCTGAGTGCTTTGATTAAACAAGCAACATAATAATAACCCCTTATAACACTGTCATAAGACTTACTGTTGTTGGAGCAATTTGAGATTCCGACTTTATTATTGAAGCCTAGACTGTGATTATAGGCATGACTCACTGTGTGGATTCTACATGGTGCTCGATGGTTTCAGAGGGCAAGTGTTGGCATGTGGACAAAGAGAGGGGATGACAGGTAAACATCACTTATTGCAGCAGGGGAACTGTTTTCAGTTTCACCTGATTGACTCCTAATGGTTTTTTAAATTCCCAAGTGCCTTTGAAAATGATTAATTAAGTGTGTTTGGAGAATAATAGCAGCATTGTTTTTATTTGTATTTTCCCCTAAAGCAAAGCCAGGTAGCATTATGGGAGCTGAGACCCTGGCAACACTGGCATCCCTCAACTTATTCTCAGCATTACAGATCTACCTTCAAAGGATGAGGCCAGCGAGTGCCACAGAGAGGAGACCACCAGCTTCTTCTTAGTTGGGTGCAGAATTTAAAAAGCGTTTTTCCAAAACAATAAAGCACTTTTCCAAGTATGGATACTTCATCTATTCTGTATTTGCTTGGATCGTCACACACACACACACACACACACACACACACACACACACACACACACAGAAACCACAGACCACACATTTCAGGGAAATGGAAGAGTTCACATTTGGTAAAATTGAGCTAATCAGAAGATAATTTTCCAAGTATAAGAAACTAAATTCTGAATTATTTAGCCAAAGAAATTTAACTAAATCTGACCTTGCCTTTCTAGGATGGAGCCGTTCTTCCATCATTTTATTTCCCAATTTTTCCCAATATCCCCATCTGGCTTACAGAGAAATATTCTCAACATTCCCCCAAGGACACATTCCCAAGGAATTTCAGTAAGGGGGACAGAAATGATATTAAAATGCTTCGGGGTTCACTCTTTGATGTTCTTTAAGGCTCATCCTAGTTTCCTCTTAGGCCCTGAGTGGATGGCAGTGGGTTTTATTTAACAGCTGAATTAAAGATTGCTTAGAATATGGATTTTTTTTTTAAAACGTGGTAGTCAAACACATATGTGGAGGCCTCCTCATACTTGAGAGCTTTGGCTTCACAGTAGATGATGATTCTGGCTGCCTTAAAATAACCCAAAGCCTTTGCCTTACCCTAGTTCATCCATCGACCAAGTGTTCAAGACTTGTTGTGGGTGACCAGGCCCCTCATGCAGCCTGGCGGGCCAGACACCTTCACACAGCTCACAGGCATCCTGTCTGACCTCTTGTGTGGCTACCCAGAGGGAGGAGGCTCTCGGGTGTTCTCCTTCAACTGGTATGAAGACAATAACTATAAAGCCTTCCTGGGAATTGACTCCATGAGGAAAGATCCTGTCTATTCTTATGACAAAAGAGCAGGTAAGTTTCCTGAGTCCTGTGTATAAATTGGGCTCTGATGTTGGTGAAGCTGATGGTTGACACTTTCAGATGAAACCGGTGTTGGAGTTGACCCTCCCTGGGTGTTGTTGAGGAACCTTGGGCAAAGAGGCTTCTCCTCCCAGGAAATCCATTTCTCCTCATAGGGAGGGGGTGGTGTGCATAAAGAGTTCTGGATGTGAGCCATGGAATGGACTGAGACCCACTTGGAAAGGGAACAGAGAGGACATTTCCCACTGATCTGATTGAACTAGGGTTACGTTCTAGAGGAAGAGGAGAAAGATAAATGAGGAGAAAGCCCAGAGTTGCAAGCCAAGCTCAGGTCAGGAGGGCCCTGGCAAGTAAACATGGCTGTGGGATGTTTTTACAAACACAATGCACTGAAAAATCCGTGTGTGTAGTACCGAATTACGTTCCACATGGCAAGTCCCTGGCAAGTCCTCTTTCCCACCTTTCACTATTTTTTTTGGCTCGTGTCGGGTAAAGGAGAGTGGGGTGGGGAAGAAAGGCAACTGGGTAGCCCTCTAGTTAAACATTAAAGAGGCATCAAGGCACATACCAAAAGTCTTTGGGCCCTGAGATAGCCACACACAACCAGGAAGTGAAGCAGCTAATTGAAGGGAAACCACTGAGGCTAAAGCTGAGATTCTAACGGGAGGCCTCGTGTGGCCTCTAGGTCCCTTTCATCTCCGAATGGCCTCTGTTCCTTGCAATAATCACAAGCAGGCTTCTCAGCCTCCTCCTTCTAAAGCAGAATAAACCACAGGGCAAGCCCCGTCCTTTGTTTCTCTGATGAGACCCTTATTGAGTTGAACTGTGGCATTTTGTTACTTGCTAATGATGAGCTTGTTATTGGTGGGGTACAGCCTGTTAATTTAGGTTATTTGTCAAATCCTCCAGCATAGGGTTGAATAAGACATGTGATGTGAACACACTAATGACCATGTTTAGCTCTGAGCGATGGCAGTTTCATTAAAATCTGTCCCTTCTCTCTGGCAGCGACCTTTTGTAATGCATTGATCCAGAGCCTGGAGTCCAACCCTCTAACCAAAATAGCCTGGAGGGCAGCAAAGCCTCTGCTGATGGGGAAAATCCTCTTTACTCCAGATTCCCCTGCTGCACGCAGGATACTGAAGAACGTAAGGTCCCAGCTGGTATTGTCCCTTCTCTCTTGGACCACCCAGAAGAATGAGAGAGTGAGGGAGACAGAGGGGGTAGAAGGAGTGGGGGGAGAGGGGAGAGGAAGAGAGAGAGAAAGAGAGAGGGAGAGGGAGACTGTGCCCTCCTGGTAGGAGGCTTCTGTTTGTTTTTTTGCTAAGTAGACTCCAGTTCCTTTCCCATCCACAGTCATCATCAGAAAGCTTTGTGCCAGTCCCCCTGCTTGGGTCCTCCCCTCTCTATGCAGCCTACATGAGGTTTTCTTTCCCAGCCCCTGAATTATATCTATAATAAAAGGGTTCACATTGTCTGAATCCTGGCTACCTGAAATAGATAAAGACAGGGAGGAAGAGAGGAAGAGCATTTGCTCACACGGAGTCCAAATGTAGCTCTAATGGGGTTCTGAGACAATAGCATCATCAGTATTCCATGTACCTCTGAGATACTAAGAAATTAGATTCTGTCAATCTGGGAGGCTGGGAAATAGCAGATTGTTCTGGGAAATATCAGTGGACTGAGAAAACTAAGACATGTCCTTGAAAAGCCTTTCCTAAACATTGAGAGTTTGTGACAGGAGCAGGAAAGATAACAATGAAAGGTTATCTCTCACTTTTTTTTTCTCTCCGTTCTTGTCTCTGTCTATCTCTGTCTGGTTTTAGGCCAACTCGACTTTTGAAGAGCTGGAGCGTGTTAGGAAGTTGGTCAAAGCCTGGGAAGAAGTGGGACCCCAGATCTGGTACTTCTTTGACAAGAGCACACAGATGACCATGATCAGGGTACGGAAGGCAGGGGGAGGGGAGGAGAAGGGTCAAGAAAGTTCCACTTGCTTCCCTTTCCCAGTAAAGGGTTAATCACTACTGGAGTTAGATCAAAATATAACAAGCAGGGCCCAAAGGCACTAGTTCTAGAAGCTGTCACCAAGTGGAGTCACTTACTTTGGGTGGGAAATACATTTCTTGAATTCTGGGGGAAATGTAAAAACTGCCCCAAACCAGTGGCTTCCTAAGCTTTCTTGCTTTTATGAATTTACTTGAGGGTCTCAGATTCAAAGAGGCATCTCCCCAAAGGCCCTGCTCTGTAACTATAAAGACGGTTGAGTGTATCTGTCCTCATTTCCAGCTTTGCATATCCAGACTAGTGTCCTATAGCAGTGATAATTAAAAGAGAACAAAAAGATCTATAAGAAAAAGAAAGCTTTCTGTATACCATTTTTCTGCCTCTCTTCCCCCACCCCCAACATCCACATCGTCCCTCCATTATAGAGACCTGTGTATTTGGGAGAAATGGTACACAGATTGGTACGTCTTATGGTGGAAGAAAAGCCATTAGCTTTTTAAGGGAGCTTTACAGTCTCTATCTATCTTCATTAAAAATTGGAAATGGGGGCCGGCCAAGTGGCTCAGTTGGTTAAGAGCTCAAGCTCTGAGCAACAGGGTCGCCGGTTTGATTCCCACATGGGCCAGTGAGCTGCGCCCAAGCTGAGGTGCCGCTGAGCTGCCAACAGGTAGCAGGATGGCTCAGCTGGTGAGAGCATGTGCTCCTAACAACAAGGTTGCCAGTTCGACTCCTGCATGGGATGGTGGGATATGCCCACCCGCAACTAAGATTGAACATGGCACCTTGAGCTGAGCTGCCCTGAGCTGCCAACAGGCGGCCAAATGGCTCAGTGGTTAGAGCGTGCACTCTTAGCAATAAGGTTTCCAATTCGAATCCTGCATGGGATGGTGGGTTATGCCTACCCTCAACTAAGATTGAACATGGCACCTTGAGCTGAGCGGCTGCGAGCTGCCGATGGGCGGCCAGATTATGATTGGACTTGGAGCTGAGCTAGCTGCGCCCTCCACAACTAAGACTGAAGGACAACAACTTGGCTATTCTCCTTCCCCAATTCCCCAATAAAATCTTTAAAAAAAAAAAAAAAGAAAGAAAAATCACTCTTTAAAAAAAAAAAATTGGAAATGGCCCAAGAACAAGACCAAAAATCCTATGGGATTTCTGAATGCTGTGACTCTATTGCTTCTTCCCAAGGACACCCTGGCAAACCCAACAGTAAAAGGGTTTTTGAATAAGGAGTTTGATGAAGATGTTACTACCGAAGCTGTGCTGAACTTCCTTTATAAGGGTCCTCGAGAGAGCCGGGCTGACAACATGGCCAGCTTCAACTGGAGAGACATATTTAACATCACTGATCACACTCTACGCCTAGCTAATCAATACCTGGAGGTAAGGGGCAGCAGCAAGCCACCTGAGGGCCACACTGGGCTTCTTGAAAACAGCCCTGTGGGTGGGACCAGAGATCTCTTAGCAGGTCAAGTGCTCTTGGGTTTCAGCTCTCATTTTCCCCACTGAAGAAGCAAGAATTCCCACAGCCCCCAAACAGAGATGGATCCTGTTCTCTAACAGCTTATCCACACTTAAAGCAGTTTCTCTGCACATCTCCTGCCCCGTGACGGCTCTGACTCCTCCTTTCTTGCAGCCCCTGAAGTGCCTATGTGTGTCCTCAACCCTCTCCTGTCTGTCATTGCTTCAGTGACCATCATTGGCCAGTGTCCACCAAACCTCGGTCTGAGGTCCCACTGCTGATTGGACCCTCCCACCTCCAGGTCCTGCAGGCACATCAGGTTCAACATGTCCAAAAACAAATTTGTGTTCTCCTTCCCCAAAAAGCTTACCCTCTTCCGGCATTGCCTATCCTGATTACTGTGCTCAGTATTTTTCCAAATTCTCAAGCTAGAGATTTTAGGGCCCCCCTTAATTATGTTTCTTTTCCCCCTTCCACACAACAGCTATAATTTATTGAGTGTTACTTTGTGCCAAGCACTGGGCTAAGTGCTTTTACATGTGTAAACAAAAATTAATTTTAAACTATAGTAAAGAATTTTTAAAAAGTATTTATTTGGGCAAAAAGAGCTGCAGCCCAGGAGACACAGATCAGGTAGCAATCTAGATTGTGTTCTGCTGAAACTAAGGGGAGGCTACTTTTTATAGTGAAAGTTTCTGCCCAGGTTACCAATTAGGTCCGTTTTATGTAAATGAGGTATCCAAATTTGTACACTGCTGATTGGCCTGAATCTCACAGTCTTGATTGGTTACCATTATTTATCCTGATTGGTCATTATGGAGTAGTTCTGATTGGATGGGGCAGGTCTTCGCCTATTGGTCCAAAGATGAAACCAGTAACTCCCTTATAATAGTTGACTCAGCCGACTTAAAAGAACAGGGCATAGTACGGGAAGCTGAGAGTTCAGTCTGAGGTTCTTCGCAGCATACAGAGTACTGAGACGCCCCTGTCAGCAAACAGGGTTGTCAGGCCCAGCAGATCAATTCCTTCTCAGGGTTTACATCAAATGAATCTTTCTTCTCGGGTTCCCACATATATTAGCTCCTTTAACCCTCACAACAGGTCCATGAATTGTGTACTATTATCCTTCCCATTTTACAGATGCAGAAGCTAAGGATTAAAGAGGTTAAATAAGATCTCATCCCATACCTGTTAGACACAGTGCAGATCTGGGTGTGCCTGAATTCAGAGCTTGCCCTTCTGACCCCTCTACTGCCTCTGTCATGTCCACTCATGGAGGATTATTCTGCACCCAATTCAGTGCATGGGTTTTTTCCAAGCAATTCTTCAGCACCAGCTGGGTGTCCTATAATTCAACTCAGTTCTGACACTGTCTACTTGGAGATTGCTTCACATCTCACAGATTAAGGGCTCAGTCCCACAACACTACCCACCCCCACCCCCAGCTTCAAACACTCATCACAAATCCAGGTGATCCAACAGGCTATAAATCAGAGGTTTCCATGTCCCACTTTATGGGTTAGATTAATTTGCTAAAGCAGCTCACAGAACTCAGATTAACAATTTGCATACTAGGTTACCAGTTTGTAATAAAAGGGTACACCTTGGGGACAGCCAGATGGAAGAGATGCATAGAACAAGGTAGGGGGAAAGAGTGTGGAGATGCCATGGCCTCTTTGAAGCCCCTCACCCCACATCTCCAAGTGTTCACCAATGCCGAAGCTCCCAGAACTGCATCCTTTGGGGGTTTTATGGAGGCTTCATTATGGAGGCTTCCCTCCCAGGAAGGGGAGTGGTATGAAGGGGAGGATGGAACTAAAATTTCCAACCCACTAATCACCTGATTCTCCTGGCAGCCAGCCCCCATTTTTAGGTGCTTTCCAAAGTCACCATTAACACAACAAAGACACCTTTCTGGTGCTCATCACATAGAAAATTCTAAGGGTTTTAGGAGCTCTGTGCCAGAAACAGGGACAAAGCCAAACATATATTTCTTATTATAAGTTATAGTATCACACTGAGCTTTGTCTACTCTCTCTCCTAAATATCTCTCAACTCCAACGCTTGCTTTCCAGGCTCTCTGCGGTACAGAGGCCTTGTCATCTGTCCACCAGCCTGTTCTAACTGCTTCCTCTGGGATTCCAGGGTCCAGTTTCTGTTGGCTCAGGCATTTCTCCGCATTGACACCAGAGCTACATTCATTCCAAACACACATCTGGCAGCATCACTTTCACACTTAAAATCTTAATGACTCAGTCCCCAAAGAACACAGTCCTTCCAAACCCACGCAGTCCCCCTTCCCAGTCCCCCTCACTCACACCTCTGATCTGGCCCTTTCACCACCCTCAGGCATACCCTGACCTCTCCTGATTCCACCCTTTGCCAGTGCTGTTTGCTCATTTGTTAGAGCCTTTTTGCTTAAACAAAAAAGAGAATGTATTGGTTGACGTAACTTGGAAGGTCAGGGTATCTAGGAATTAAACGCCACCATGAGACCCTCCAGCTCACCTTGCCACTTGCCTCCTCCCTCTATCCATCGCTGCCAGGCCCTCTTCATTTGGTGATGTGTCAGCAGCTCACAGGCCTCTGTGGTCATCTTCGCACCAAAAATTCTGCAGGAAGTGGGAGTGGCTTCCCTAGAGTGTAAGCATTACTCCCCCACAGTTCTCTGATGGGCCTGGCTACCCTACTGGTCCCTGACTCCCTCAGGAGAAAGGAAAGTAGAGTTAGCTTCATCTGAATCTCATGGGCTGAGCAGGATTACTGTGAAGTGGGGGAGGCTCTTTCTTCAAAAGAAACAGAAAATCCTGAAATGACTTTTCCTTCCCCATCTGTTGAGCTTTTCTTTTCATGCATTCTTTGGAGACTCAGCTCTAAGTGTCACTTCTGCTTTCACGTAGCTTTAGCTACTTACTCCTCTGTGCTTCCCTGGCCATCTCTTCACACTCCTCTTTGACTATATTCATGTTAGATTTGAGTTACCTGTTAATGCGTCCGTCTCTGGTTCAACTGCAAGACTGGAGTTACTCGGGGTCAGGGAGACCATCCTAGTTATTTTCAAAGTCTTGACCTCAAACTCCCAGAGAATGTCTCTATCCAAGGGCTTGTCACACCTGCCAAGGTCAGGGGGTGCCAGGTGAGGGCCAGGTCTGGGTCTTGTGTCATCTGGAACCATTAGAAGGTAGAAGATGCCCTGGGCAATAGGATAGGGAATTAGGTAAAGGGCCCCAAGAGCAAGCCCCCTCCCTCAGACTCCTTGTTCTGGAGGATAACTAAATAGTGAGAAAAAGCCTGGCTTCATCTGTCCCCACAGTGCTCTGAGGGCTCTCTGCTGCCTCTGGTGCCACCAGAATTTCCCCAGGGTGTGGGACCTTCCCTCTAGCAAGTGACAGCACAGGCTCCGTAGGTGGCCTTCCAGAAGGGGCCAGGTGTAACAGCAGCAGCACCGAAGTTCAGGTCATTACAAAATGATTCCCAACTTGTCTGAAAGCAAGAATGACCTTGGGTGCTTTTACTAAACAGATTCCTGGACATCAACCCAAATCAGCTGACTCAGAATTTCCAGGGATGAGGCCTGGTAATCTGTACATCCTGCCTCTGCCAGCTACATCCCTCTCCCTGGCCATGCTTACCACCATCCACTGCATGGCTATACTATAGGCAGAACTCGTGAAGGGGACGTGGGTGGAGGAAAAGGGCTCTATTCCTTTATTCTTGCAGAATGGAGTTCAGTGGTTCTCACAATGTTTTTGTGAGGTACTATCAGTAAAGAATATTTCTTGTCTTTTGTTTGACTTGACATTTGCATGGTGGCATGAAGGTCTTGTTTCCTTGAAGGATTTTTTTTTTCTGTGTAGCTTGTGCTTAATGTAGCACCAGGCACCCAACAGATACTTAATATATATATGTATTAACTGCTTAAATAGTTAAGAATTCAGTCGCTGGAGCCAGAGAGCCTGGGTTCAAATCCCTGCTAGTTGTGCCTCCGTTTCCCCCATTGGTAAAACAGGGCTATTAATAGTTCTTACCTAGTAGGCTTATTATGAGAATTGAGTTAATTCATGCCAAGCACTTGGAGTAGTTCCTGGCATACAGTAAGCACTTAATAAATATTAACTTTTAAACAAAATACAAACCAAAAAAAATAACTGCTTAGGAAGAGGAAAATGGCACTAGTGAAATCAGGCCCAGCCACGCCTGATCCTTCTCTGCAGATTACAAAGCTGCTAATTACATCCAGCCTCAACCACCAACACTTCCTGAGGGCTCTGCAATCCCATCAGCAGAGGCACCGGCCTGGTGGCCACAGGTCAGGTCAGTGGCCTCCCCCAGGGGTTCCTAGAAAGGGTTGTGATGGGGGCAGAATCTCAGCAGGTGATTCTGATGAGGTTTCTGATCTTCTTGCCTTTTGGGGGAGGGAGAGGAAAATGCAGGGGATGGGATTGGTGGAATGAACTGAAAGGAGAAGGTAAGAGGGGAAATGTGCAGTGAGGAAGAAACCGATCACTGCAGTGGGTCCCGATTTCTCTGCTGTTCTTGTGTGCTGGGAAGTCTGCAGGAGCCTTGGAGACCCCTGAACTCCCATTCTGAGGACTGCTGAGGAGCAGACGGGGCACAAAAGCTCCTCCTCAATGGCTCTTAGGGGTCTTAGAGACCCTTAGGGGTCTCTCCAGGACAGGGCAGCAAGTGTGTTCCTTCACAGCTTGATTGAGGTGCTCCTTTTCGGTAATATGACGTATACTAAAGATCTGTGAGAACATCCTGGGCCAGCCTCTATGCTTAGCTCCCTACCTATTACAAAAAAGGGGGGGGGGGAATCCTTTAAGGAAAATTGAGCAAAAAACAATCTTTAAAATGAAACATATGTTAGTCTAGGTCAATGTGCACTTAGATTGATATTGAACAGTAACAGAAGCTCTGA